AACCAAACACTAACTTTCTTGGCAGTGAAATGACTTCCATTGTCAGTCACGATAGCATCCGGGACATCTTCTCTACTGAACGTTTACCTGAGTGCTCGAATAGTTAATTCTGAACTGCGAGTTGTGGTAAAGTACACTTCTGGCCAACGGGAATAGGAATCGATGATCGCCAATGCGTAATACTTGTTAAAGAATAGACCACAGTAATTCACATGTATTCTTTGCCATGACTCGGATGATACTGGCCACGGAGTCCATTTCGAAGGCTATCTGTGAGTTTTGTGCATACAATCAGTATAGGAGTTTGTAACACAATTCAGATCATGATTCAATTCAGATCACCAGCACGTGAGACGAGCAAGAGATTTCATCTTTGCAATGCCGAGATGACCGGAATGTAAGTCATTGAGAACAGCTGGACGTATTGTTGGAGGTACGATAATGCGATCTTTGTAGCACAAGACACCATCACACATGACAGAAATTTCCTCAGGACGTTTATAGAATTCCGGAAATCGACGCTTGACATCACCTAGCCAACCTCGACGGACACAGGAAATGATAGCGTGGTAATATTTCCTGGTATCGCGAACTAGATCCGATCGGCTTACCGGGAGCGGTTGAGTGAGTAGACAATCACCCGTAGAAGCCTCCTCTAAAATGGTATAGCGTGATAGATAGTCTGCATGTGGAATGGACTGCGCGCTGCGATGATGGAGGTCGTAGGGTTAGGCGGATAACGCAATACTCCATCGTTTTACCATGGCTGCAGATGACTTAGCCAGGGAACGTTGAGGGTTGTAAATAAACTGCAGGGCTTCATGATCACTCACAATAGTGAAATGAGTACCATCAAGATACTTTTGCATACACGTGATAGCCCAATAGACAGCTAGAGCCTCTCATTGAGTTTGGAAATACTCACGTTCGGCAGCCGTGAGTCTGTGTGAGATGAACAGCACCAGATGACCATTCTACTCCAACACAGCTCCAATTCCAACGGGCGATGCGTCCGTGATGACGGTAGAATGTAATCGTGGAGAAAAAGGACGTAAGACAGCACTGGTAGATAAAAAGGAAAGTAACTTCCTCAATACACATTCATGGACCGAATTCCACCGAAATATTTGCTGTGACTGTAAATCGAACAATGGAGCAGCTTAGGTTGAAAAGTTAGGAATAAACTTGGAATAGTATTGCAAAGAATCAATTAAAGAACAAAGTTCATGGAGTGACTTGAGCGACGGAGCATTAGTCAACGAAGAAAGTCTATTGGGGTAAGGACGGAATCCGGATTCATCAACCAAATAACCTAAACAAGAAAGTTGAGTCGTAGCAAAAGCACAATTATCAGGGTTAATAGAAACACTATGAGAACGGAATCTTTCAAACAAAGCACACAAACATTCGCCATGTAAGTGTCTGCCAGGGGCATGAACATTAATATCCTCCTGATAGGCACATACACATTGTAAGCCAGAAGTGATGGAATTAATAGTAGTTTGAAAAATAGCGGGGGAAACACTGAGTCCAAACGGTAGAAAGTTGTAGCGAAATAAACCAAAAGTTGGTTTAATAGTCGTGAGTTCACGGGACTTTTCATCTAGAGGAATTTGAAGAAATGCATCTTTCAGGTCTAGAGTAGAGAAAAATTTGGCTCCATGAAGTTGGTGTAGAATATCTTCTGGTTCGACCGTGGCACAACTGGACTGTTTCACGTGTGTGTTCACAGTAACTGGATAATCCCCTCATATCCGAGGAGTCTTCCCGTCACGCTTTAGTAGAGTAACAATTGGCGTGGCCCAAGCCGAAGAATTCACGGGTGTCAGAACTCCCTTGCTTACCATTTCATCTAATGCCTTTTTTACGGGGTCATCAAGTCCAAGTGGGATAATCCGCACCGGAGGACCGGTCACTTCGGGACTCATATGTGTCATTTTGATACCGCCCTTTGCCTTGGAACATTCACGTACTAAGTGGAGAAGGCGTGACTGAATGGGGTCAGATATGAAAGAAAATGAAAGATGTATTTAATTCATGGAATTCAAACCAATTATAGCAATGTCGGAATCAATAACCAAAAACGGGTAGAAAAATGTTTGTGATTTATCGTTCTTAAGAAACGGTCCTAAGACGGGCAAAAAATGACCGGTAATTTCCTTAACTGAAATGTCTGTTGGTGAAAGTGCAACTGAGGGTTTAACTGACAAAATACCTTTTTGGAAATGAAAGAATCAACACTGCCGGTGTCCATATTGAATGTATGGTGAATGGAGTCATTAATGATGAAGTCGCGGGTTATATGGCTAGAGGGACGTTAACTGGTACTGGCTAGAGTTAAGGACTGTAAATCACAAAATAAATCTTTAGAGGAATGGATAGTCGTACGTTTGGTAAGACACGACTTCGCACTTATACAGACAGATTGGATATGGCCAAGCTTACCGCAATTGTGACACTTGGTATTTCGAAATCTGCAGGATAGCCGAAAATGTCTTTGACCACAGGAATTGCACTTGTTCCATCTTTGAATCCATTGCTCATTGCGGGCCAGAGAACTGACGTTGCTTGGTGTTTTCGAGCCCTTTTCGAAAAACCGATTTCGTCGGGACGGTGACTGTTTGGAATTGCTGGCATTGAAAAACAAGTTGGGTTCATCACAAATAATGGCACGGACATCTTGGTACTGTTCACAAACTGCCGTAGATAACTGAAATGTGCAATCGCGAATGAGCAGGAGCTTTTGCTGTAATTTCGGGTAATTAATACCGGCAATTAATCGATCACGTAACTGGGTTTGCAATTGATCTCCGAAGTTGCAAACAAATGCTTGAGTCTGAAATTGAAGAATAAAGTCACGTTCAGGTTGGCGTCCACCACGTGAATGAAATTTGGCTCGTTCAGCTGCTTCGAAAATAGCCGGATGTAGATGCTTCAGTAGCAAAGTTTCCAAGGATTTATACCACAACGCTATAGGAGAATCAGGGGATGCCAAACTCTTCAACAACGAGTATGCATCCTTTCCGCTGACCGTTAGGAAATAAGCCGTTTTGCTTTCTCCTTCGAGTTCTTTCTGCGTAATGCACCAAATCTCAAACCGTTCAAGATAGTCTTCGACATCGCACGCGCTGGCATGTATATTCAAGTTCTCCAAACTACAGGAATCTATTGGTTCAAAATGACCGCGACGCCAATTGTTGTGATTCGTACTGGGACCAAAATTTGGTATATATATATCGGATTCCGCGCACTAATAATCCGAAAAAGAACTAGGAGTCGAAAAGAAATCAGAAGTGAACTGATGGGTAGAATTAAAATGTAACAGGCTGAAATTAGGAAACCAGAAGGATATCAAGTTCAATAAAACAAAAGAGAACAGAGTTCACCAGCGATCACCACACCCGGTAAGTAATTGCATGGGTGACCGGCTGAGAATACCAAGTGATGGGGACATACCATTCTTCCTCCTCTCACTAAACGCTCTGCATTATCTATCTTTCTATCTATCTAGCTATCTACCTATCTGTCGATAGATGTCTACAATGAAAAATTCCTAAGAGCCAGACCAAATTTTACATTACACCAAATCCATTCGAATGCGCTCACCTACTACTCAACTGGCCTTAGATCTACCTAAACAGCACGAGTGCCTCGTCCACCGTCCGTCCTTTGACTACATGACTCAGCATTCGTTGTGCGTCCGTCCGCAGTGTACACCTTAAGAGAAGCAAGTGGTACTGAACGAACGGGGCAGAAAATGCCTAGGTACTCCGTATTAGGCCATCCATTTTCGTTGCCTATTTCATATGCCTATTCCATGCTTTAGCAGTTGGTGAATAGTAGGCGTTTGCTACCTGTCGAATTGGGTGTGAGTGATATCTGTTGTCTCTTTTTTCGCATTGCACTGTGAATTTTGTCTTGGCTTGCTGAAAACAGATGAGCAGATAAATAGAAAGATAGATAGATGTGATTGACTATGTGTGCGAAAGAGGTTTCATATTGTGACAACTGACAGGCTGTTTTTTTTCGTATATTGTTAGTGCATTTTATTCCGGCTGCGACCATACCACGTTGGAAACAGCGGTTCTCGTCTGATCACCGAAGTTAAGCAAACTTGAGAACAAAATTGAAAGTGATCTCAAGTCATCAGTGTTTTATCGCCGTTATGTCAATGACACACTGGTACTAACCTCAAACAAAACAGCTGCCATAGTTTTGTTTAACAAATTGAACGGGATGCATAACAATATCAAGTTCACTTTGGAATTTGAGACTAATGGCTCGTTACCATTCCTAGACTAACAACTGACAAGATTGAAAAATGGTACGCTCCTGACCCCAATTCATCACAAGTGTACGTGGATGGGCCAGTATTAACATTTCCAAAGTTTTTGTCCTCTACGATAAAAAATTGGATTGGTAAGAACATTGTTCTACAGAGTTCGTCGCCTGTGCAGTCCAGAAGTGATAGAGTGAACATAGAGATTTGGCGATGCCTTGTCCTCTAATAGTTATCCCCTGCCTTTTATAGAGAAATATTGCACACCTACCATTCTCAGGCCAACATGCACTACGGTCCAAAAGAAACCAGTTTTCATTGGTGTGCCACTTAAAGGAGACGATGTAATTTCACAGTTTGTCGTCGGCTTCGTACTACAGTTGATTCCACCTATCCTGCCGCGAAGCTGATCATGATTCACAGAACAATGAACTCATTGATAGGTCAAACAGACAGATCCAATGATTCGGTCGCCTCAAATTGCATTTATCTTTTTCAATGTACTTGCGGTTCGCGGTACGTCGGAAGGACTGAACGCCGACTGTCGACCAGAATGAGTGAGCATGTTCCGAATAACTTATCACTTAGGGGAGGAAAGCTTCCAGCANAAGGCCTTTGTTATACAGTTGTTATTACCATGGTAATTCCCCCACCCCCTTCCTTCCCATCATCTCAACCGTTCTCTTACATCATCGTTGACACTTCGCTCTTCTCATTTTCTTATTACGTAACTCTCTTTGACCTACTTGGTTGAACATTGTTTTACTGGGTGAAATTTCTGCTCCTATTCGATTTCATTTCTGGTTGCATCTTTTTCGTATTACGTTGCCATGTCTAACTTTCTTTCCACCATTGCTAATCGGTTTCAATTACTTAACCATTTTCTATGCTAAAATTCCCCAACCCTCCTCCTCTTCTACTCATACTCACATGACTCAACCACTCAGTGCTTTCTGCTTGACCCCATGTAATTGTAAATGTCTATATATGGTATTCTCATGATAANTTTTATTCAAATAAATAAAGCCAGACTAAATTTTGCATTACATCAAATCCATTCGAATGCGCTCACCTACTACTCAACTGGCCTTAGATCTACCGAAACAGCACGAGTGCCTCGTCCACCGTCCGTCCTTTGACTACATGACTCAGCATTCGTTGTGCGTCCGTCCGCAGTGTACACCTTAAGAGAAGCAAGTGGTACTGAACGAACGGGGCAGAAAATGCCTAGGTACTCCGTATTAGGCCATCCATTTTCGTTGCCTATTTCATATGCCTATTCCATGCTTTAGCAGTTGGTGAATAGTACGTTTGCTTTCACGTTCTCTGCGGGTATATCCCAAAATTCTTATTGATAGTTTCCTCCATCTCCTGAGTAGATCGGTCAATTTCTTTTATGTGTAATTTCCGTGATAAAACCACGAGCACATTGATTTCAACATCGAATTATATCCCATCCCTGATAATTGATCTTACGTATTTAGTTGAAGAAATTTGTGATTAGGAAGAAGCTACTGTTTGTCAGACAGCCGTGAATATTTTGGTTGGATTGTTGTTGTGCTTGTTGTTTGCACACAATGTCAAAGTGTTGTTGAACGCTTTGGCAATAACTAAGTGCGAATTTGTAACATGTACTCG